CACACTCTTGCAATATTCTAAATAATGTTTGTAAACTCTAAACACTCTAAAAGAGCACAGAATGTCATAATTTCATCTCTCTGCTGCTCTTTGCCACCTGCAAGCGTTCTTGACCACGCCCACTTCTCCGCTCTGCACAGAGAACAGCTGCAGCAGGAAGTTTATCCTACAGCTCTGGGCAGCCCAAAGGTGCAGCAGGTGCTTAATATTTTTAGATAATTTATTTTAAATAAAAATTCCATGCCGATCATGCAGCTCATCCATCAGCCAGTTGTCTGTCATGTCCAATCTTAATTTGAAAAACTGCGATAGAGCGAGTCAGCGATAAACGAAACGCAAAGTAGCGAGGGACTACTGTACATAAATAGCTAAAAAGTAGGAAGAACAGCTAAAAAGGAGCACGCAAAAAAGAAAACAGCAGAAAAATAACTGAAAGTGAAGTTGGAATTGGAAAGATAAGATCACAAAAAACTAAAATTAACAGAAAAAAGTTGCAAAATGAGAACATTTCTGAAAAGAGCACAAAAAAAGCTGAAATTAGCAATTAGGTGGAAAGAGCACAAGTTTGTTAAAACAAGTAGAAAGCTGAAAAGAGCACAAAAACCTAATTAACAAAAAAGTACCACCAAAAAATTTAAAAAAAGTAAAAACCTAAAATTAGTTGACAACTACTGAAAAGCAGCTGAAAAACTGAAATTGGCAGCAAGAAGCTGAAAGAAACATAACAGCAGAAATTAAGAAAAAGAAGCTTGAAGGAGCAGGAAGGAGCTGAAGGAAGCTGAAATTAGCACAAACAAGCCCCCAAAAAAAGCAGAATAAAAGCTGAAATGAGCAGTAAAATGTAAACAGCACATAGTTTGAAGGATGTGAAAAAAGCTCCTTATTTTCAATAAGGAAAAAATGGCAGAAAAAGCTAAATATTTCTAAAAGTTAAAACTGCACAAATACCAAAAGTCATAGCAGGAATGTCCAGAATGAGCTGAACATTTTGATACATGAATTGTTGAAATAGGACCAGAAACTGCAGAAGAAGTTAAGATGTTGAAAAACATAAGAGAAAAAGACTGTTGCTCAAAACTGTGCAGCTTTGATCAAATGTTTATCTGCTCCAGTCCCCTGCTTCAGCACATCACATTTAACACTGAACAACTAATTAAATATTTAATTCACACCCTTCTACTGGTATGTAACGGAGAACTCGTTAGTGTGGGTGTGTTTTTACAGGAAATCTGAGCACAGGTGTGGGTTGGTTTTGTTCTTCCATTATCTAGGCACAAACCTTCAGCCAAGACACTGGTGATGAAAACTCCTCGTAGGGATGTGACGTTAGTGAAGTCTGTATCTCCCCCTGTGGTGGTGTAAAGATGGCGCTCCAGTGACTTTGAGTACACAGTGCCTCGGTCATCCGATACATAAATTGTGCCAAATCCTGTATCTGTGAAGAACACAAGGCTTTCTAGTCAAACAATAAAAGGCAATGAGATCATGTTGTATTTACTCCAAGTTCAAAAGTGGGTAATTGGATAAGACAATTTGTGAACAGAGCTATTTGCAAAAGGAGAATTTGTGCACAAAGTGTCACAAACAAAAAAAGTATTAATCCACAGCTGTAAATTGCATCTGTGCATGATATTAAACTGATGTTTGAGTCTTTATTATTACACGCCAAATGTGCAAAAACGTGAAATTTGAATATAGCATGTTTTTGCATCTAAAATAATACTTTCAGTTGGACTTTCTACATGAAGAAACACTTTGTTGCATGCAAGAAGACCATACCATCAGTACTTGTCAGTACTGTTTCACTGTACAGATAAACATTTGTAGATAGATGGCTGACCTCCGGGCTCGTCAACATGCATGAAGACCATGTCGTCATTCGCTGCCAGGATGGAGTAGAACTGCTCGTGACCTACAGGCGGCAGCTGAGCCGGGTTCCAAGTGTCCCCCTGGTCCACAGAGACAAGGATGTTCCTCAAGGTGCCCTGAAGCAGGAAACGAAGAAAAAAGATAGGAGTCAAGAATTAAGTGAGAAATAGTGCTGCACAATATTAGAAAAACTTTTAATGTGCGATATTATTGTTTTATGTTGCGATGAAGATACCAATTGCAATAAACCCACATTTTCCTCATGGCTCACTTTCATCTAAACCACGTGTGGCCATCAAGGCCAGTAACTGTTGAATTGACCCAATATATTATTAGCATGCTGAACATGAATGAATTGCACTTTAAATGTAACAGCCTATGGTTTGTTCCAGTCCAACAGAAGAAGTGGGAATAAGTAACATCTTTGTGACAAAGTGCCAAGATCAATTAAAAAAAAGTTATTTTTTCTGACTTTTCTGTGTGTTGACAACGCTGGTGCATTCCTCGAGTCAACATGTCGCCTTGTTACACCTAAATGATTCAAGGTTAACAGCTTACAGAAGACATAAAACATTCTCCTGAAAATGATCAGGTATTGGAGGGAGGAGAGAAAAAGCAGCCAATTTTGAAAGAAAAACTGAAAGACCTTCAAAAAGGCCGAAGAACTACTGATTTACACAATTTTCAAAATAAATACTGGTAATTTGTATATAGATACACGTAATTTGTATATAGATATACAGTAGTAGTACAGAAATGAAGATGTTGAGGTTCTCCTTAGGAGTGACAAGGATGGATAAGATTAGGAATGAGATCATCAGAGGTACAGCACAGGTTGAACAACTGGGAGATAGTTAGAGAGGCCAGACTGAGATGGTTTGGACATGTCCAGAGGAGGGACAGTGGGTATACTGGTAGAAGGATGTTAGAAATGCAGCTGCCAGGAAAAAGACAAAGAGGAGATATATGGATGCTATTGGAGAGGACATGGAGATAGTTGGAGTGAGGACAGAGGATGCAGAGGACAGAGATGGAGGAGGATGACTCTCTGTAGCGAGACATGAAGAGGGAAAAGCAAAAAAAAAAGGACAAGATATATAGATACATAAAAGAGGCACTATAAGTATACATTTCATCATGTACTATCATGTCACCATCTAAACCATTTCCCAGCAGCAACCTACTTCCCCTTACAGACTTTTGACACAACTTCTCTTTCTTTTCAGGTCAAATGTACCAATACTGAATAAACTATCTTTTTCTACAAACCTAAATAAATCAACTAATGTTTTCTCCTGTGTTTTAACTAGTTGGGTAACTTGGGGCGACTGTGGCTGAGTGGGTAGAGCAGTCGTCCTCCAATGCAAGAGTTGGGGGTTCGATTCCACCAGCAGTCACATGTCAGTGTCCCTGGGCACTGAACCCCTCATTGCCCCTGATGTGCGTCCCATTGGTGTATGAACGTGATAAAGCACTGATTATTCTTTGTATAGGTATAGTAGAGTGCTGTATGAATGGGTAAATGAGGGCACAGAATGTAGTGTAAAGCGCTTTGAGTATCTTGATAAGATAGAAAAGCGCTATATAAGTATAGTTCATTTACTATTGCTTGAACAGAGCCCCTTTGGTACTGACCTTTCCCGTCATTATTGAGGCAAAGAGGAAGCGTCCACCCAGACCAAAAGAGAAGATCTTCTTGGCAACAGGTTTGATGGTTTGACCATAATCTGTCGTTCTCTTCAGTTCTAACATTCCCCGATCACCTGAAACACACAGGTGGCTTAGAAATAAAAGAACAACAAACATATTTAAAGATTCATGTGCACCTGACACTAGAATGGTGTTTAAGACTGAAACTTGAAAATAAATGCTCTGCTTTGTCTGGTACAAACTTGTGATTACACACTCAAAGCAAGAAGTATTAAAGTTATAAGGTGTTGTTTTTTATATGACTTCAATAAAAATCTAAAACATACAAGTTGAAGTTGCCTATGTTTCCATTTACAGATTACTTACTGCAAGATCCATTTTTGTTGGATGTAAAGAAGATGGTATTTTTCCTTCCCCTGAAAGCAAAAAAAAAAAAAAAAAAATCTGTTGTATAGTATAATAATGCTTTGGTGGCATCAATAATTAAAAACTAAAAATGGTTTACACCTAGTAGTGAAAATCAAGATATTTTGTAATTTTTCTCATTTCTTGTCCGTGATGTTGTTGCTGCTGTAACATGGGAATTCTCCCAGCTGGGAGTCAGTAAAGCCCCATCTCATCTCATCTCATGCTAAATGCAAGCCCTTCATGAATAAATATCTTTCCAACTTCACAAAGCTCCAGGCCCGATTGAAAATGACCCATTTTCCTGCAGCCTGCTCAGACTCTCCTGGGAGAGTAATAAAATGCTCTGCGTCAGAAACACCGCTTTGTAAAGGCAGTTGCGTCAGTCACAGTAACCCTCGTTCTGCTGCTTTAAAACTGAAACAAAAACAAGACGGCGTTACGGGGTTTACAAAGCGATTCAAATCAGGAAGTCTCTAAAGCAACAAAGCAATCCAGTTTTGCTGCATATGTGACTAAAGTTAAGCAAAAAAAATGTGCATTCCCTGGGGAATACTTCAAAGGTTTTTAAATTCAAAAAGGGTTTTTTCAAATCTTTCGTAAGTTACAGATTTACATATCAGCAACAAGACGTGTGAATAACTTGAGCATGTTGAACCTGTTCACATGCACGCCATGGTTTGAGCATTTTTAGCTTTTTTCACCCCACACCATAAACCACAGCGTAATTAAAAGGAACACTATTTCCTACTGCAATTTGTACAAACTAAAACTACAAATAAAGGACTGCAGCTTCAGAGGAAAAAAAAACAAAAAAACAGAAAGAACTTGGTTTTCCCCTTCGCTTCTCCCCGAGGATAAACTCAATGAGCCAAGTGTTTGTTCACCGAGCACCTGAAACTGGTTCAGGTAGCACGAGTTATTCTTGTTGCTCACCATTTCACCAGACAAACCATGTCGTGGATCTTCTTCCAGGTGGTGCCGAAATCTTGAGAAAGCCACAGTTCATACTGAGAAAAAGCAAACAGAAAAAAAGACAAATATTAACTCGAGAGTTTGTGGACAGTTAAACGACTCTTTACAAGGGTTGCACAGAACTCGATAGGCCTGCCCATAAACTTCACAGCCTTGTTAATAAATACACACAACAAAAACACACACGGAAAAATATTAGAGGCCTAGCATTCTTTGAAGGCATGAGTTTTAGACTTGGATCATCTCGTGCTTATTTTAAATCTTACAGACAAACGTTATGTACAATCTATCATGTAGTACAGTGAGATGTCACACTCGGTGTGTGTTGCGAACTCTCAGATACTACCACATGAAATTTTACATCAGTATCTGTAAAACTGACAAAGTTAAACATTTTTTGTGTGGGCTAATGTTGATTAGCTGTGGAGGACATTTTAAATTGGACCGACTCCAAAAGGTATTTAGTTGTAGATATACATCAAATGATCACTTTTTAAAAGTCTCATTGAAATCATCCAGTGAGTCGTGATATATATTTAGTAGTAGAGACGCATGAACACAGAAAGACATGGACAAAAACAGTTTCTCCTTCCTTTGCCTTTTGGTGGCTAGAAAAGAATGCTCAGTTTCCTAAATTAATTATTCCACATGAATGGAACGCCTTTAAAACATAACTACATTTTTCTGCTAATATCTATATAATTGTACTTTCCCCAAATATTATAAAAAAGGTTAAAATTTTCATAATTTAAGTGTTTTTGTTAAGCGGTTCTGAGAAGCTGTCATTATGCACAAATGTTTTTAAAATATGACGCTGGTTTTTAAGATGTATGTCAGATAACGGTGAAAAAAGAGAAAACACACGACTACAGGTCTTGAATATTTCCTTTTCTAAATATTACTTGTTCTTTCAAACAGCCGATTACCGGTATATGTCCTTATAAAAAGTGTGTACCGGTATCTGCAGTTTCCAGGTCACGTTTTATTACAATAAAATCCTGCTTTAGAAAATGTAAAAAACTAAAATAAAATGTGATGTGGACACATTGCAGGCGGAAGGGGGTAAATTTAAACATATGTGGTTGTGGAAGATTGTTTTTCTCTATAACATGAATGATTTTCAAATAAAAGGAATATATTTGAATTTACTTTTTATTGTTATTTTAGCAACAAAAAGGCAAAATTATGCAAGAAATCATGTGTCTTTGATCAATTCTACGGTAATAATAATCCATCTTTAATAAAAGATGGGCAAAGCTTGACATTTTAATTGTGTGAATTTTGAGACAGCTACTAATCTACTAGCTTTAGCTAGCTGTTTGCTACTTTTAGCTTTCAAATAGCATTTTGCTACTTTTGTTCTATCGATGGCTTGTTATTTTTAGCCAAATTCTTGCATCTTTTAACAAGAGTTTTGCCATTTGTAGCTTCTGTCTACCATATTGCCACTTTTAGCTAACCATTTGCTTTATTTAGTGCTTAACTAGCTTTATGCTACATTAACATAGCACTAGATAAATTTACCCAACATTGCACTACTTTTGGCATTTAGCTAGCATTTTGCTCCCTTTAGCTTTTGGTGTTCTGCTCCTTTTAGCTAGTATTCTGCTTCTTTTAGATTTTTCAATGCAGTTTCAGCTTCTTCAGCGAATTTCAGCACTCTGCATTAAAAAAAAAGTAATTTTTCCAGTTAACTCTCCCCTTTAGGACAATTTTGTCTAACGAACAAAAAACTGTTCATTTAATAAAAGCATTTTGTCAATGTCAAAAATTAATGCTAACTTGTTCTATGAAATCCTTGTACTCTGTAAAAGTAGATTTATTTGTAAAATTTAAAATTACTGTAATATTTTTGGAATTTGTCTAGTAACCTTTCCAAGAGAAAAAAAAAATCAATATCCATCAAAACTAAATTTTTTATGGGATGCTTTGCTTTGACTTGAGATAAAACTGTCTGTGTGTACATACAGAAAAAGGACCTTCAAATTTATTTCAATACATCCAAACTGGTTTCTTTCACACCGACAATAATACTTCCCACGTTCTTCACTACTTACATGGATGCTGAGAACAAGCAGCACATTTGAGTTCCCAGGGTTGTATAAGATTTGCATCAGTGGGTTGAAAGGCAAATCTCTGGATGTGAAACTTTTTCCAAAATTATCAGAGACGTAAATACGAGCTTCCTCAATTCCAGAGACTTCTGCTGTCAGGATCACCTAAAAGCCAAAGATCCAACGGTTTCTTTACACGATCGTGTTGCATTATTTGTAAAAACACAAAAAGACCATGTGAACTAAATGGGGCGAGACACTGAAGTGGGCGAGTCTTACTTTGCCTGAGTTTTCAGGTCCGATTGCAATGCCAAACTCTGATCTGATGAAGGTGTTGTTGATCAAGTTGGTCACGTCTTCAAATGACTTCCCATAGTTCTCACTGGCAGACAGGTGGTTACAACAAAATAAGATGCAATTTGACACAAGCTGTACACGTTTTCCACTTTTTCTAAAACACGAGGTTGTAAAACTTACCTTCGGTAAAGTTTGGACTGCCCAAATCGTAACATGAAGAAAGGCACCTGAAAAGTTGTCAAAGCCAGGATGACCTGTGAGGAGTAAAGGTTGAACTTTAGATAGCGTGAAGTACTCATTTACAGAACTACCATACATCTTGATGAGAGGAAACTGATTATGGCATCTCTGCAGTGAATCCCACTCATGACATGATGGGTGTACCACTCACCCCTGTGCCATCTCCAACCCAGGCCAGTGACACTGAACCACTCTGGTCATTGAATGAATACTGTAGAGAACAGAGAAAAAATCCAGCATTTGGTTATACATCAACTATATAAGCCTCCAGAGTTTGAATCAAGAGTGACAGAAATATGTGATGCAATTCCTCCAAACAGTGTTTTGTTTGCTTTCATTCGCAGTGAGATTCCCCTACTCAAGTCTAAAGAGAGAAACGACAAAATCATTTGCACAAACGGAAACCACCCTATCAACCCAAACGTTCATATAAGAATTCAAAGCACTTGTGTTCAGCAAACTTCTGAAGGCAGTAGCTGAAACTCAGAATGATTTATTGCCAGACTTAAATTTTGTTTAAATTAAATCAAGTAATCACAATGGAAAGCGACCTCAAGGTGTCAAGAGTTTAAATGTTTTAAACACTTGTGGTCCATTATTGCTCAGATATTGTTCACAGCAGCTCATCCTGTAAGCTGATCTTGCGTCGGTGGGACCTGCAGGAATAACCTCTGGGAAATGGGATTCTTGGAACCTTCTCGACCTGAGATTATCGGGGCCGAGCGTACAAAGACTGCAATGTAAAGTTGATCACATGACAGTGAGGAGCTAGGCAAATAAGCAGCACAGGGTTTTTATAAAGTTTGTTTGTGGCAAGTATGATACGTTATTAGCCCTACAAATAATGTTTTCTGTGCCTAAAGATAAAAAAAACACTGCAGTCTCTGTTTCCTAACAAAACTTCCTGGTTTAACTATTAAACAAGCAAGGCTTTTAATTACTAAATAATTTGCACACAGCCAGTCACATGGACTCCTCCTGAGCCAATTTCCGTCAACATTCAATAAGGCACTTTAGGTTTCAATAAAATGGAGAAAAAGTGGAATGGTTTCAAATATGCCTGAGAAGAAGAGTACATGGGTCACAGCTTTTAGTGCAGTTTGTCTTTAATGCAATGCTTTAGTGAAATGACAAACTAATTTTGAAGGGAGTTCTAAATTATAGAACTAAACCAAAATGTCTCCCACACTTGAACCTTATTGAAAAACAGCCCTCAATTTCCATGATTTCTTGAGTCTACTGTGTTTCCTTTTGTTTTCTTGCGCTTAAAAAGTAAATTTTAGTCTATTCTCTGGAACAAAAGTGTAATACGAGTCATTTTTCTTTGACAACAGTCACTAAAAGGTGGCCGTGTGGACTGGTGGTAGACTCTTGAAGTGAAAACATTCACAAATCAAAACTGTACCTAGCTGAAAGTTTTTTCTTTAATCGTTTGAACCCAAACGAGGTGGCTGAGTGGTTAGAGCAGTCGTCCTCCAATGAAAGAGTTGGGGGTTCGATTCCACCAGCAGTCACATGCTGAAGTGAACCCCTCATTGCTTCCAATGCGTGTCCCATCGGTGTATGAATATTATAAAGCACTGATTACTCTTTGTACAGAAACAGTAGAATGCTGTATGAAGGGGTAAATGAGGACACAGATTGTAGTGTGAAGCTCTTTGAGTATCTTGATAAGATAGAAAAGCGCTCTATAAAGTGCAGTCCATTTGCCATTCCATTTAACCCACTCGACCACTGATGCCTTAAAAGACTGGCTGAAGCACACTGAAGTATACATCTGGCAAAACTGATTCATAGGAGGTTTGTTTGAAGTAGTATAGGTGATCACAGTGTCTGAATTACGATCACTCCATATTTTCTTTGGGTTCCACGTCCTTTGACTTATGATTAACTCAACAGCATATTTAAAATTTGAAAATGCTTGCTGTATTTAGCTAAGTTTTACTCAAACAAGCTTACGTTTTGGTAAAAGCCTGTGAACGATAATGGTCCCTTTTTTATTTTTTAACCATAAAATTATAATAAAAATATTAAACTTGGTTAACTGAAGACAAGAACATGTACTTTAAAATGAACATTTCAGAAGGACACTTATCAGTTTAATTTTAAATCTTTTTTTATATATAATCCTTGTCATTTTAAAAACATCTCCATCTGCAGCCACTTCTTAAGCCAGTAGGTCACACAACATTGCTCTAAGGGCCGCAAAGGGCCCGCGGGCCGCACTTTGGACACAGCTGTTTTTGTAGGTTAACTGGTTTCCGACTGAGGGTGTAGTTAGTTTAACTACCAACAAGCTACCTCAACATGTGTCAGTCAGGTTATTTGGCTCAGACTGAACGTTTTGTTTAGAGAAAACAGTAAGATGAGAGGAAACTTTTCCTAACAGCAGATTTAAACCCGCACCTGGTGGAGATCTAAGGCACCTGCGCATCCTGCTCCTCCCTGGGTTTAATGAATATGAAACTGGACCTGCAGCAGGTAACTTACACTGTGGGTGTTGGCGTCTAACTTGCTCTTAAATCCTTCGTGCTGTTTGCAGGACTCTTCCTGCTCGACGCTTCCTCTCTTTATTCTGTGGTTTGGTGATGCATCACCCATCAACGCAGTGGACACCGACCTCTTTGCGATTTTCGCGGCTCTCCCTCCGGTACTTGAACGTCTCACGAACACAGACCGTCCTAGCGGCTCGGAGCCCGGCTGAAAATCCAAACCGGCGGAGAAAGTGCAGAGAGAAACCAGCAGAAAAACGTCGCGCAGCAAAGGTCCCATCCTCCCCTGCAGGCGAAAGTGACTAACTAAACCCAAAAAAAGGAGCTAAAACAAAAAACCCTTAAACGAGTCTTTGTTTATGCTAGCCTTTATATAGAAACCGAAGGTCGCTGATGTAGCTCTACGAACGATGACACCAGTACAGTAGTCCTCCTGACAGATTAAAAAAAAAAACAAGAGGCGTAGTTTCTTCTCTCGCTGTTTCAGGACAAAATAAATATTTGAAAAAACACAATATATCACAGTTTAGGCGGCGGCTTCAGCGTCACCTAATCGCACTGCTACACCTTAGCCAACATGAAACACTAGCTAAGATATAGACAGTGCCCGCAGGTAATAACGCTGGGTTCCGAGAGACGCTCTGTGATTGGCTGACTCTACATCCGAGTCCGCCTTTTTGCGTTTTCTATTGGACGAATAATAAATAGGGCGTGGCCAAGAAAGCAGCTGTCAACATGGACATACGTATGTCTATGGCTGTCAAAAGCCTTTGTAGGATAGGTTGAGCAAACCACAAAAGGAAACTACTGTACTTTTTTTTTTAAAAAGGACCAAATACCGTTTTTTTTTATGAACTCATCAAGACTATATTATTTAGATTTAAAGTAACATTAAAACTGCATTTTAACAGTTTATCTTTATTTTATTTTTTTTCTGTTACTCCAAATTTACAGGTGGTTTAGTTAGTTATAAAAAATTTTTAAAAAGCTGCAATAATTCCCTTTTCAACTGGTGCCCTAGGGCCACTTCCATACGTACTCAGTTCAGTCCACCAACCTTTAAAATAAAACTAGAGTTTAAATCAGAAAAATGTATGTGCGAGAAACGTTTTAAAATCTGAACTGAGAAAATATTTCCATCAGAGAGGTATCAGTTATTAAGATAATCTATGACAGGGCTTTAGAATTCAGTCCGCTTAGTTTAAATCAAACCATATTTTAAAGTGTAAATTAAAACAATAAAGACAATAATTGTGGCCCCTGAGAGCTTTATCTGAATAGCCCTGACTTAAAAACTGATTTTAAAATGTATAACTTGGAAATCAATAACCATGAAGCTGAAATACGCTTTTATTATACGTTATTATAAAAATCAATAAAACTAGTTTAATTAATTCTTACTGACCAGAAAAAGAGGATATTGAATGTCTCTTTGAGTGAGATGAGGACACATAACTGAGATCCACCAAAACCAAAACTTATCCCAAGATGTGCGTAAGACTTGACATTTGTTTTTCATGTGATGTTTTCCAGATTATTTTGATCCCATTCTTCTGAGTTTTTAGCAATCTACCCCAAATGTAACTGTTCATTTTTTAATGTATATAATATCAAAGTTTCTTTGCTGTCTTGAATGTGTTGCATGTTCTGTTTTAAGACACGCTCATTTAAACTGAATATGTAATTAAAAAAAATGTACTTGACAAGTGTGACATGTGCCATCTGGTGAGTGAAGCTGCCATTTACAGAATATTTTATGTGACATTAAACATTTGGACCTGCTGTGAAGTTGGACAGCTCAAATGTGAGATTAGAAATCACACTGAACTGGAGAAATCTTTCCACCCACACTGAAGCAACTGTGACAGGTACCGTTCAAACCTATTTTTATCTGAACAGATGACTTCAGGTCCATTTCCAAGGGTAGATATAAAATATCTACAGAATCGGTCAGTTCTTAGGCTGATTCTGAAATAGCAGAAGGATGATTGCACATAATATATTATTCTTTTTCCTCCGAGTCGCATTGCATTGATTATGTCTGTGACAGGACAGTGCCAACTTATGTTGTGTTGGAAATTAAAATAAGAAAATCTTGGCCTCACTGAACAGATTGTGACTCCATTAAAACAATGGCAAGTTTTGTTTTTCCTAAAACTCTTGTTAAACACTGTGACATGTTTCTGTTTTTGTCATATGAGTTTAAAGTCCTGCTGAATGCTGGGAGGAGCAGATCAGTTGATTCTTAGTGTTTGCTGTTCCTCATATTTAGCTCTTGGTGTGGCTCAGCCAGTCTTTCAAGGTTGTCAACCTGCACAACTGAAACACAAAAACTTGTCATCTAATTGTCTAAAACAACCAGCTGCAAAACAATATTCAGTCACAACAAAACCCCTTATTCTTCTTCATGTTTTCAGATTTTGTCATATGTGCTTTGACTCATCAATTATGTTCCATTTAAGTTTGGATTTTGTATTACCTGACCTCAACAACAGAATGATCTGCAGGGCTGCATTCCCTTACAGAAAGAATGAAGGAACTTCAACCTCTCCTGGCAGACATGTCAGAAACTAACGAGCACTCGTATTCCTTCAGTGTCTTATAAGAACTAGGCAAACTAAATCTAATCTAAAATAACCTGTTTAGGTACAAAAAAAATGGCAATTACTGTAAATAAAATAGAGGGAATTTAAGGAAACACCTGCATCTGAATGACTCGATGCTGTAGGGTGTAATGATAGGGATGGTGGTTTGTTCAAAAAGAGTTAGCTTAATGATCATCACAGTGTTTCTGCCAGTGTTCACTCATTACAAGCTGCTAGAGTATTTTAAACTCTGAATCTGATGCCAGCAAACCATGTAAAAATAAGGATTTGTGACAATCTTTTATCAAAGTTGTGGAAAGTGCTGTGTTAGTCGTGGATATAAATTTATGCTGCATCGAAATATTGTCCCATTTTTAAAGTTACATTTGTGGTTTGAATGATAATGGTTCAGCGTTTTTTGCAAACAGCATTGAAAGTACCAGCTGATCCTGTCTGGTGGTTAAAAAAGATGTGATCTAGCAGATTCCTGCTGAATCTGACCTCTTGTTTGCAGTGCAGTTTTTACAGATCCGTATATTATATTTAAAGGCAATTTATTTATTCATTAATTTTTAACTGGGACCTGAGTACAGTACACAGTTTCATTCCACCTCATGTAACACATGTGATGCGAATGACAGTAAAGATCACTGAACTTGAAATTGATTTTTACAGTCACTTATTCCTGTTCAGAGTCACAGAGGTGGTGTCTATCTCCAGTAATAAATGGATAAGAGACAGGAGGGATACACCATGGACAGGTCAGTTGTAGCAGGGCCGTGTAAGGACATATGAGACAAACAAATGGCGCACGTATACACACACTCATACCTAAAGACTGTTCAGAACCTCTAATCACCTTAACAAGATGTTTTGGACTATGGGAGGAAACCACATAGTTTGGTCCATGTGATTTAAACTCCGAAACTTCTCGCTCTGAAGCAGAAAGAATTGACCTGCAAGACAGTGCATTCACAAGTTAATTTATATGGTTTAGTGTTAGACCCTAAAGTTTCATCCATACATCCATCCATACATACATGCATACATACATACATCCATACATACATTATCTTTACTCGCTTCTTCCTTTTCGGATTGCGGGAGTCACTGGTGCCCAAGTCCAGCCATCACTGTGCAAGAGGCGGCAGACACCCTGGACAGGTCTCCAGTCCATCACAGGGACTCATAGAGACAAACAACCATTCACTCTCTCACTCACACCTAGGGACAATTTAGAGTTACCAATCAGCCTAACATGCATGTTTTTAGTCTGTGGGAGGAAACCTATGTATGTACGGAGAGAACTTGCAAACTCCATCTAGAAAGGCCCCCGGTCCGGGATTTGAACCGGGGCAACCAGCTTGCTGAGAGGCAGCAGCTCTACCAACTGCACCACCGTGATGCCTCCTAAAGTTTCAACTCAATTCAATTCAGTTTATTTATATAGCGCCAAGTCACAACAGTAGTCGTCTCAGGGCACTGAACAGAAACATATGACAATAGTAAGTTAACACTATTTATCTGAGGAGCAGACTGCTTTCAGTTTAACTTGAAACGTTTAGCTTAAACCAACATGTGTATCTTTTTGAGTATTTACAACTACTAACGTGTGTAACACTATTACTGTGGTGATGAATATAGAAATCCATTCAACCTTTATTTATACAGGTTAGTCTCAATGAACCTCGATGACTCATTTACAGAGAGACCTGTTTTTAACAAAGAATGATGACAACAGGCACCCACACCTGCTTCCACCCTCATTTGCACCACTCTGGGCCCTTGAGCAAGGCCCAGGTCTCTTCAAAATGAGTCCTCATGGCTCAGTGAGACTACCTGTAGAAATAAAGTTTTTAAAAATATAGACTTTAGCTATGGTATTGAAAAGGAATCTGGAGTTATTTTTATTCTCATCAATTAAAGAAGAAGAATTTAAAGTTCTAGCTTTACAGAGTGTTTTTTTTTTAAATATAAGTTAGCAGGCTATCTCTCCAAGATAAGTAAAATCCTTCAACGATAGTGGAGTGCCATTGTCTTTCCAGCTTTCTAGATGCCTGTTTTAAAGTACCTAACTCAGAATTGAACCAAGGAGCCATTCTCCTCTGACTGATTACTTTCTTTTTCAGCGGAGCAGTTTTATTGAGAGAAGTTTGCAAAGAAGTTGTAAAATTATCAACCAGATGATCGAAGTCACTGCTCTCTGCAAGACGGAGGAAAACAAAACCAAGAAGCAGTTCTGGGCCAGTTTAACCCTAGATTAAATTTTTTTCAGTGTATGTGAATGTTTCATGTAATATGGTTGTTGCTTATTGCAGTTTAGATAATAATCAAATTCTCTCCTTACAGAAAGGCAAAAATTGATCAAGATATGCTTAATTGTAATTAGAACTAAACATGTATTATAACTCAGAACTGTTTTATGCTTTCTATATACCTTTGTTTGGATAACCTGTTCAAAAAAGACATCAACCCAGTTACTGATATGGTATCTGATATTTCAGCAGAACAAAAGATTATGTCCTTTTCAAGTGCTGTTTTGGCAAATTTACAGCTGGATGTGATGTCCCTATCAGTGAGGGATGGCCCAAAAGAGCTACAGCGACATTTATTAACAAAGGTTTCTTGATAACAGTCATGGCTTGTTGGTTATCAGTTTGACCAAAGTGATATTTAGGTTTCGTTGGGTTTGTAAGATGTAAAAGGTCAGCTGATGGTTTCAAACCAAACTAGTGCAGAACAAATACTTTTTGTGTTCTTTTAAAAAGATTTTGTTTCCTTCATGTAAATTAGTGGCTTTTTTTTTTTTTTTTTACAAGATGAGGCTGTTTTCCCAAATACAGATTATTTTTACATGATTCAACTATAAAATATTACCCAGGTGTTTGCTTAAAAATGCAGATTATTTTATAGTTAAATAGAGAAACACTAAAATACCACTGAACAATAAAAATTACAAGAGCTCATTTCAAAGGTTATCATAACAGAGATCTGAA